CCTGCTCCTCCTTCGAACTGGATGAAGGCGGGATTGCCTTTCTTGGCCTTAGCAGGGGTCRGAACTTGAGCGGACTCGTTGGTCTGTTTAGCCTTTCCGCTCCTCTTGGCAAGAAGCTCTTCTTCACTTCGAGCAAAGTCAGCTGCACGGTGAAGAGCATCATGGATTGTCGTTGGGGGGTTGATGGTGAGTTCATGCCAGAATGGAGATAGGCATCGAAGGGCTCCTCGCAATGCCTCCAGTGCAGACGTGTTGCTGATTCCGTCTACCTTTGCGAGAGTGTGCTTAAACCTTGTCATGAAAGACCGCAGGCTTTCATTCTCACCCTGTTTGTTGGTCCACAGTTCTGCATCATAAATTTTTCGTTCAGCAAAGATGTTGTAATGTTGGATAAACATCTCAGAAAGTTGGTGGAAGTTGTGAATCGAGTTCTTCTCCGTTTGTAGAACCACTGGAGGACAGGCCCTTTGAGGCTTTCCACGAATAGCTTGCAGTAGCCGACGTCCTTCTCGGCTTCTCTGAAGTTTGCCCTCCCTAGGGCCACCTCGAATTCCATTAAATGATCAGCAGGGTCTGAGGTTCCTTCGTAGCTTGGAAGCTTGATTCTTCCGGGATCAGAGATTTTAGCCCCCGAGATGTTTTCAGCGAAGGGTGTATTTCGCGCCTTCTCCAGCACGTAAGCAACCCCAGGAGCCTTCCCCGTGCTCCGGTACATTTGCAGCTTGGTGGTTCTCAGGTCAGAGACGACCTGGTCTAACTGTGCTTTTAGCGCAACGACTTCTTCGTCGCAGGAACTTTGTGGAGCCCTGCGCTCATGCTCCCTTATGTAGATTTCGGCGATGGAGGGATCTCCTTCTCCATCAACCCTATTGTTGTCAGCAGCGTTCTCTCGGGCGTGCCTCCGAGGAGGGTGTCGATCTTCCCGAGCCCTAGCATTCTCAGTTGCTGTGTGGGTTCGGGCTCTTCTCTGAGGAGGTTGATCCTCGTCCGAGTCTTCCACCACACGCTCAGGGATTCTGTCGGAGTCCCGACGAGGTGGTAGTGGAGGTACGTCCTCTTGACCTGTGCGATYTGTCCGAGGCGGCAGCTCCTCGTGGCGATCCCTTCGATTGGATAGGGGCGTGGTGAAGCGGAGGCGTGTTGGACGGGCGCGAGCCCTCTTGAGCTTCTTTCTCTTGAGCGCCTGTAGCTCGCTCGTTGTTGCCTCGATGTGCTTCTCCTGATTTTGCACCTTCTTATTGAGCGTTTCAAGCATATGCTTCATCTCTGTCACGTCCGCCGGGACGTTGGTTGTGCCAAGTGCAGTGTTCTCGACGGAGTCCTTCTTCTCCTCCTCTCTCCCGTGAGACGAGGATCCTTCGCTGCTAACGGTGTTGTTCTCAGACATGTTCTTCGATGGTGGTGTTGTGTAAACCTAGCTTTTCTGTGTCAGAATTTCTCTGCGCCTCCCCTTAGACGGCGCCAAATTGTGGGAGTCGAAACTAGCACAATTGAATTTGTAGGGTTTCGTTGAAGAGGTAGAGAATTCTAGGGTTAGCTAAGATCACAAGAGTACGGAAAATTGCTTTGTTATTGCTCTGTAAGAATTTGTCAACAAAGTTGCGGATGCCTTCTCAAGGGCTTTTACATCAAATATATATATATATTATCTCTAAGGCGGCTCAACTTCCTAAACCTTCGCGGATTCCTTCCTTGCCAATGTCGGCTGCATCAACGTGGGCTTCGTGTCTGGACCGGGCTTCGTACTGTCTTCATGACACTGGGTTGCTGGGCCGAGAATGTGGTCGGCCCGTCGACAGTCCGAGGACGCGGTCGGATCCTCGAGGCTCCGAAACCGTGGTCGGTTCCGAGGCCGTGGTCGGCTCTGAAGCCGTGGTCGGCTCTGAAGCCGTGGTCGGTTCCGAGGCCGTGGTCGGCTCTGAAGCCGTGGTCGGTTCCGAGGCTGTAGTCGGTTCTGAGGCTGTGGTCGGCTCCTCAGTCGAACCGACCACGTGGTCTCCTGCCGAACCCGGGCGCTTCCTGCTTTGCCTAGACTTGCCGCACGACCACTTGCTTTGCTTCGCGGGAAGACTTAGGTGTTTTGCCGCCTTGTTCGTCGAGAGTCTGGAGGGTCACTTTTTCAGTTGTCTGACTTTGAACGTTAATGTTGAGCGGGTGAAAACCGACCCCAACAGTAACACTGTCAAATTTAAACAAATTTAAAATAAATTTGAATACAAACAATTGATTTATTTTTTACCGTAGGTTACGCCTAAGAACAAAGGTCCTGTGTTTGGCCTCCCGGAAGACAGTTCCTCCACATCCGTTAATTCTTACCGCTTTCACGCAGATGGTAGGTTGAGGGCACAGAACGCCGAGCTTCTCGAGCGGGTGACCGTGATGGAGGCATAACGCGCAGAAGATGCAGAACGCATTCGGGCAATGGAAGAACAGATGACCCGCATGCAGGCAATGGAAGAACAGATGACCGCCATGCGGGCAATGGAAGAAAGGATGAACGAGTTCTTCCGTAACCATTCCCAGTAGACTTTACGTTATGTAA